CACGTCGGGCGGTTGGTGCTGGCCGGGGCGCCTCGGTTCTCCTCCACGTGGCCCTTCGTGTCCTGCGGCCTCTCCAGCCGCGTTGCCTGGACTTCTTCACACGGCTCTTGTCCTCCAAGAGGGTGACTCAGATGCCGCAGGGTCTCTTGAGGCTACAGCCGGATGTCACGAAGAGCGGTTTCCACCCATTCTGTTGGCCAAAGCAAGTCACAGGGCCAGGCCAGATTTGGGGGCGGAGTCCGATTGCCCAAAGGTATGCAGATGGAAGGGAATGGGGGGGGGGGCATCTTCAGAAGCATAAGCACCCGCTATGTGCCAGGCATCGCCCTGGGCCCTGGGGATGCGGCGGTGAGTGAGAGGCACCAAAACCCCCAGAGCTTTCATTCTGGTGGCAGAAGAGGACAGGACAGGTGAAACTTGTAAGATGTTAGACAGGGATGGAGGCTGAAGCCAGAAAGAAGTTGGTGCGGGACAGGGAGTGGGGGAGCCTGCAGGGCCAGGGAAGGCCTCGATGAGGAGAGACGTTTGAGCCAAGGCTGGGGGGAGGTGTGCGGTGAGCTTTGTCCGTGATGGGAGCAGCGGGCGCAAAGGCCCCGGAGTGACATCGCGGTTGGTGTGGCTGGTGGGGAGCGGGCTGTAGGCGGCGAGGTCGGAGAACAGATGGAGGGTCCAGGTGGCGTAGGGCTACCGAGGCCTCCATTAGGTGTTTGCTGAGGGAGGTGGGGGGAAGGAGAGGAGTCCTGTTTTTTAATTAAGCTGTAATTCACGTAATGTAAAAAAATTACCATTTTGAAGCGTACATTCAGTGGCTCTTCATAAGTTCACTGTGTTGTGCAAACATCGCCGTGACCTCATTCCAGAGCACTCCCCCCTGCCCCCGCCAAGAAAGAAACCCCATGACCATTAGCATTCTCCTTCTCCCTGCCCCCCCCCCCCCCCCCCCCGCCCCGTGATCTCCTTTCGGTCTCTGTGCGTTTGCTTCTTCCGAACACTGCCCAGAAAAGGAATCACGTAGTACCTGGCCTTTGTGTCTGGCCTCTTTCAATGTTTTCGAGGACCGTCCGCGTTGTAGCAGGTGTCGGGCTGGCATTCCTTTTCAGTACCGCGTAATACTCCGTACCGTGGATATGGCCCGTCTTGATGGTCCATTCATCACTTGACGGGCCTTGAGTCATTTCCACCTTTTGGCTGTCATGAATACCTCCCAAGTTTTGGTAAGAACACCATGATTTCCGTTCTCTTGGCTCTCTTGCGGGGTCGTAGGGCAACTCCGCGTGTAACGTTTTGAAAGAGCGCCGGACTGGTTTCCAGAGCCGCTGCCCCGTGTCCCATCCCTACCGGCGGCGGGGGAGGGCTCGGGTTCTGACGGGGTCTTTCGGGGGAGGAGACCGAGGGGGGACCAAAGAGGAAGCAGGGACCAGGGGGAGAGGACAGCACCCTGTGCCAGGGCGGTGGCACGAGGGGTGGACAGAAGCGGTTGGATTTGGGCCACATTCCGGAGGTGGAGCAGAGAGGATTTGCACACACGGTGGACGGGGTGGGCCGAGAAAGGACGACCTCGAGGATGCTCTCAGGTGTTCGGCCTGAGCAACGGGCCAGTGGCGCCTCCGCTGAGTTGGAGAAGACCACGGCGGGGGGTCTGTTTGTGGGGTTTTGCGCCCATCACTCACGGGTGGGAAGCCAGCCCCACTTTGGGTTTGGGGCCTTGCCCCGCTGGGAGGCTCGGATTGGCATCTTGGGAGACTGAGGTAAGGAAGAAGCAGAGGCCATGATTCCCGCGTGTTATCCATGCCCACCTGCTGTCCCCACCGGCGGTGCCCTGAATGTCACTCTGAGTGAGCCATTTGCTCTTCTTCCCCTGGGAGGGGGACGATTTATGCCCAGGGAGTTGCACAGCATGATGAGGGCATTCATTTTGCTTATGGGCTGGTTAAAAAGGCGTGTGGGCTGCAGCCCGCAGGACTCTCGCTTCTGAGGCCACTTAGGGGATTATCTTGAGAGAAAATTGTCCCGTGAATGATTTGCGGGCGTGGTGGGTTGGCTTATCCTGAGCTCCTTCCTGTTGGTTGGGAACGCTGGCCAGTCGGCAAATGCTTTCTCTACCCTCTCCTGCGTTGGGGCACTTGCCCTTGGTACCGGGAGGTGGGGGAGAGGGGGTCGAGACCACAGCTGACAGACGGCCGTAAAGGGGACACGCTGCCCCCTCTCCAAAGAGCCTCTTGGTACTTACAGACTTCAGCTCTGGACTCAGAGTGCTCAGGGTCAGATCTGGCTTCAGTACGTATTAGCTATGTGACCTTGAGCAAGTGACGTAAGCTCTCTGGTCCTCCGTTTCTCAGTCCATGGAAGAGGGGCAAGCGACAGCACCTACTGTATAAAGTTCTTGTGAGCCTCCAATGAAATAAACCATATATGGCGATTAGCCACCGCTTTTGTTATCTAGGGAGAGAGACACATAAAGCAGCCACTTATTATGCACCTACTGTGTGTCAGCACTCTGTCAAACGATTGAACCACCTTTGTTACGTGAGGTTAACCTCTTAACAACCCTGCCGAGTGGTGTGGCTTACAGGTGGGCCAACCGAAATGCAGAAGGTAAGCCCTTCAATTAAGGTCTCGTGGTTGGCAAACGCGAAGGTGGGATCTGAACCCAGGGCTGATTGGCCTCCCTCCTGAACACTCGGCCATGGGTTGAGATGTACTTCCTCTCTTCGGGCCCCTCTGGAGAAGGAGGCGGCCCATCCCGCCGGGCCCTGGGCTCTCATGTCCCTCTGCAGGTTTTGATTCGGCCTGGTGTCTGGGGTTTGTACACCTGCACTCTGGAGGGAGCCTCCGCCCCCTTCTGTGCCCCTCTCCCTCGCCTCTGCAGCAGAAGGAAAGCGACCAGCCTGCCTCTCTCCTGTCCCTGTGGCCTCTCTTGGCTCCTTCTTCCCCTCTTAGTGCCTTAAGGGCAATTTTTTACCGCGATCTTCCTTTTGGGGGGCAGAGAGAACGTCCTGTGAGTCTCTTAGTCCTCTCTCTGCTGTGGTCCCCTTCTCTGTCAAGCCTCCCCCGTTCGGGCCCAGAAATAGTCCCAGCTGTGAGATGAAGGTTCCAGAGTTTAAAATTGCAACTTGGTACTATTTTTACTCCAGCCGGAAAGATGTTTTTCTGCACATTCGTTTATGCTGTTGTGGTAGCGACAGCTCCCGCCGCAGGCAGCAGGCTGTGGCACTGTATAAACATCTCTCGGGGGACGAGTGGGTGATAAGGGGAGCCTTCAGGTCGGGGGTGGGGGGGCAGGTACCAGGCCTGCCCAGAAATGTCTGGGGTCGCTTCCCTGGCACAGAACGATCTGGCCTGGTAAGCCATGTTCTAGATGAACTTTATTCCTAGATGCCTGGTAATTAAAAACAAATACAACAGGGGCACTTGGGTGACTCATTTGGTTACGTGTCTGACTTTGGCTCAGGTCATGATCTCATGGTTCATGGGTTTAAGCCCGGCATCGGGCTCTGTGCTCGCAGCTTAGAGCCTGCTTTGGATTCCGTGTCTCCCTCTCTCTTTGCCCCTCTCCCGCTCGTGCTCTCTCAAAAGTGAATAAACATTAAAATAATAAATACATACATACATACATACATACCAATTGGAATGCCCAGGTAGCTCAGGTGGTTAAGCGTCCGACTTCGGCTCAGGTCGCGATCTCACAGCTTGCGAGTTCGAGCCCCGCATCGGGCTCTGTGCGGACAGCTCGGAGCCTGGAGCCTGCTTCGGATTCTGTGTCTCCCCCTCTCTCTGCCCCTCCCCCACTCATGCTCTGTCTCTCAAAAACGAATAAACTTTAAAAATAAATAAACAAACACACAAACAAATAAATAAATAAAACAAACAAACAAACCCCGGCTATTTTTAAGTCATGAAAACAGTAAATACTTGAGGGGAAAAAGGGTTCAAACTAATTTTTACACGAGGGATTTAAATGGGCTTGTAAGTCGGCAGACCCTTTCACGGTCATGTTTGGCTGGGCCTGTGGAGTGTTAAAAAAAATTTTTTTTGAATTTGAGCTACCATTTAAAAATCGGGACATTTTCCAAAAAGTTACAATTTCTGGCTTCTCTTGCAAAATGGAAGGCTCTGGGAGCGCTGAGCGTGTCTACTGATGGCCGCTGGCAGCTGGCTGTTCTAGACTTGGGCAAATGCTCCTCAGATTGCCACAAGCCCCAGCGAGCTGCCTTACGTCACTCGTTAAGTTACTGCCCAGCCCTAGTACCTCGAGTTGGGGACCCTTCAAGTCTCCCTTGTCAGACCCCACTCCCCATTTGTGCTCCCCAGGGCTAAGTAAACCCCGTTAATAGTGTTGCCAGGTAAAGTCCAGGGCACCCAGTTAAATTTGAATTTCAGATTGAATCATCGTTTAGTGTAAGTACATCCCCTGACTCTGGGCACTTCGGTCTGTGTCATTCCAGGCCTTTCTGTTAAACCATGTACGTTGTTTGCGTGTCGTCACAAGAATAGGTTTACATTCTACGTCTTCTGCATCTTGTGTGAACCGTCCATCGTGTTTCCCAGGAGGCATTTCTCAGAGTTTGTCAAGAGCAGGCTTTGGGGCTGTGAACTCAAACCTACCTACCGGGGAATCCTGGCCCCACCCCTTGCTAGCTGTGTGCCCTCAAGCAGGGCTACCTGTCCTCTCTGAGGCTCAGTTTCCTTATCTGAACAGCGGGATGGTAAGGGTAGCTTTGTTCTAGTCCTGCTCATATTTATTTATCTCCTCTCCTTTGAACGCTGCCTGGAGTGGATGGGCCGCGGTGGCTTTTCACCAGGCCTCCGTCCACAGGTGTCACGATTGCTGCCTGATCACCACTACCTTAAATGAGGCTATGAGACGTTTTGCAAAGGGAAAGGAGGTCTGAAGGGAGCTGGGCGGATAATCCTTAGTTTGCTTAAAAAAAAAATAAAGTGAAGGGCGTTTGTCTCCCTGGAAACCACTTGCTAATCTCCAGGATATTGTCTCTTTTCAGGCGAAGGAGGTGGAGGAGACCATCGAGGGGATGCTCCTCAGGCTGGAAGAGTTTTGCAGCCTGACCGACATGGTGAGTGTCTGCCCGGGAGGAGTGGATTTAGGCCCAGGCCAGACTCCAGGTCCTTCCTGGAGTTTTCTGGGGAAGCCATTTTGGTGGCGATTTGGCAGCCAGAAGGAATGGGGGCAGCAGCCGACGGTGAGAGCAGGACCGGGCACGCGCACTCTCTCACACGGTCTCTCAACACCAAGGCTTCCTGAGGCGGCCATCTTGATAGTGCCCATCCCCCCCCAGATGGCTCTTATTCCACAGAGGAGCCAGGAGTGGGCCACCAGGTGGCACTCTCGGGCACCGATGCGGGGAGCCTTTCAGCGGGGATGCTAAGACTATATTTAACTTTCCTCAGCTCTGCGCGGTCCGCCAGGCAAACATGGAGACAGCCAGGAAATGGCTTCAGGCCTGCAAGGCCTGGGAGGAGCCTCTTGCCCAGGCTGTAGCCTGAGGCAGGGTTGGGCATCGGGTTCCTTCTCAGATCCTTTCGCTGTCTCTGCTGTTGCCTCTTACTCTGTTTTGTTGGATCAAATCCTCTTGGCTGGGTGGGGGAGATGGTGCCTTAGGCCCAGAAGACAAGGTCTCCACTACAAATTTTGCAACAATCTCCTCCAGATCCTTGTGTCCCCAGCATTGTTGCCAACCAGGTGTGGGCCCCTGAATAGCAATGATAGAACTTTCTGGAAGCTCCCAGCACCCTCGGTTTAAGGCCTGAAGGCCCAAAGCGTAGAGCTCCATATTGTGATCAGGACCCGTGTCTCGGCTGGACCCCGTGGGGTAGATTTGTGCGCCTGTGAAGCACGTGTCTGGAGAAGTGTTTCTGAGAGCCCAGGGGAGGAACGGTCACGGCAGCCCTCTACGTTTATTGAACACCTACTTGGTGCCAGGCACAGTGCAAAGTGCGTTTCCCGTATCAGCCCATTTCTCCTTGAAGCAGGCCAACGTGACGGGCACCCCGTCATCCCCATTCATTCAATAGGCCTCCCTTGTGCCACCCTTGGGGACACAACAGTGAACAAGACCGAAGTGTTCCCAAGAGGACCTGTGTGTGTTTCGCTCTTGAGAACCAATTTTCTAGTTTGGGTGTGGGTCCGGGTGGGAGCTGGGTAATGAGACAGACTTTGAACAGCCCGGACAGCCCTTTCTTCATCACCGGCCATTGGACACCTGCCCCTGACTGGGTGCTGTGGTGAGCCCAAGGGTGAGAAGAAAGTGGACCGTGTCTCCCTTCCCTCTGTGAGAGGAGCCCACTGTGTGTGACCAGCGCTGTCATCCAGTGTGGCAGCCCTCGCCTGAAGGTGTTTTCAAGGTGCAAAAGGAGACTGCAAAGGTTTTGAAGAGGGAGGGTCTAGAAGGAACTGGGCACATGATCCTAAGACTTGATTTGTTTAAAAAAAAAAAAAAAGAAAGAAAAAGAAAGAAAAGCAGAGGCGTTAGATTCTGCCTGGGAAATTGGGAAGGCTTTGCAGAGCAGGTGGTGATTAATTTGGGGCTTTGAAGGAGGAACAGAAAGAATTCTGCCGCTGGGGAGGGTGAGTGTCCAGGCAGAGGCACCGGCCCGTGGGTATGGTGTGCTGGGCACAGTGTGGACCGGGGGGGCCCAAAGTCAAAGGGGTAGATTTGGAAGATGGGTGGACTGGTGACTCAGAGACGTTTTGTTCTCAAGTCTCAGCCACCCTCCTCCTTGAAAGGAGACCCACGATCCGCCTAAGGGGCGATCTTGGGGCAGGAGTCAGCCTGGATCGGGAGAGGGGTCGGGCCACCTTGCCTTTGAAACCATCGAGGCTTCCCGTGGTGGGGGAGCCTGTGTGTGTCACCCAGAGGCCAAGGCGTCAGGCAGTGTGCTGACAAGACCCTCCCCTAACTGGAAGCCTGGAGATGCATTTATGCAAAGGTTTTAATACCGAGATCACACACATGACCCATGGACCCGGTCCCGCCTGCAGATATGTTGGCTGTTTCTGGAAGGAAAAGAAAAAGGAATTCACTGCTGACATTTATAGAATGTCATGCAAAAAAAAAAAAAAAAAGGGTTTCTGGCTTCTTTTGGAAGAGCAAAGATCTGGCTCCCTTGGGTGCTTGGTCCCACCTGGCCAGCGTCGGCCGGAGTTGTGTCGTGGCCGCCCCACTCTGGACAGCGTGTGAGCTCTCAGCCTGTCACTGGCCACTGCTCCTGTGGGGCCCCCTGACTCCGTGGCCACCTGCCAGGTACGTCTATCCCATGCGCAAATGTTTTGCGGCCGAGAGTATGTTTCTCTGTATTTGGCGTCCTACCGAAAAAGGGCAAATGACACCAGACCAAGAGGGTCAAGAAAGGGAAGAGAGTGCGTCTCCCACGGGAGTGAAGACCATTTCTTGTGTTCATACGCAAACGAGCGTGCCTGCGTTAAGAGAATGTGCCTGGTACGATGCTTTTGTGGCCCCTGCAACAGTGCGCGGAGTTACGGAGACCCTCTTGGCCCCGACACTTGATGCTTAGTTTCCCTGGTGTGCCTGCACGCGTGGCAGAGAGAGGTGTCCAGCTTGGGGCCTCCTTTTCTCTTTTGGTGCAAGCTAGGGATGAGTGGGGGCCTCTGGGGGGCAGGTGATGTCACCCCATGGACCTTGTCCCCAGCCCGCTGCTTTGGCCTTTGGCAACAGTGGTCGAGTTAGAGGCCCGAGAGTGGCCAGGCTCCCTGGTGCATAGCCCAGAGAGAAGCCGCGCCTCTTCCGGGAAAATCAGGCACTTAGGAACGAGAGTCCGGCTTCCTGTCTGATGCATTAAGTCCATTGCCAGCCTGCCCTTGCCCTTGATCACCCTGTGTGACTGGAATTCACCACCCTGTGCCTGCCACCCGTTTGGACCTTAGACGTAATGCTCGCTGCTGCCGCTTCAAGCTCCTGCTGCTGCGGGGTCTCGGGCACAGCAATGCCCTCTCCCTCCCTTTCTCTTCCGCTGCCGCATCAGGCTACCCCAAAAGGCAGTGGGGTAAAACGACCACCCGTTTATTACGTGGGCCAGGGCAGGGCACAGGGGGGATGTGGTTCCTGCTGGGGCGGGGATGTCCGACGTGGCCCTTTCTCCCGCTTGTCTGACGTCTGGGCTGCGAGTGCCGATGGCCGGGGACCGGCTGGTGTCCCCTCTCCCCATGCAGCCTGTCCTCGGGGCTAGTTCGGGCTCCCTTGGCATGGCGTCAGGCCTCCCAGGGCAGGCATTCCGACAGATGGGAAGTGGGAGCCTCCGGGTGTCTGGACGCTTGGGTGTGCCAGTGTCACTTCTGTCCTATTTTACCGGTCAGACCAGTCCCACAGGGCACCCAGATCCAAGGGGAGAGGACACGGACCCCGCGTGCTCACGGAAGGAATGCAGAGGACTTGCGGCCCTCTTCAATCTACCGCAAATGGTACCTGTCTCCCAAGAGTTACCGTGCGGACCGGATGAGGTGGGGATACGCGCTGCCCCTCCCCTGCGGTGACCGCAGCGAAAGTGTGGGCGAGGATGTGGGACACCGGAAACGCTCGTCGCCTTGCTGGCAGAGATGCAAGAAGGCACAGCCACTTTGGAAACAGTTCGGCAGGTTTTCAGAAAGTCAGACATGCACTGACCCTGCATCCTGGCGACTGTCATCCGAGATGATTACCCAAGAGAAGCGGAAAGCAGAGACCGCAAAGCCTCGCAGCCCAATGTTCGCAGCAGCTTTATTCGCGATGCTCCCAGACCAGAAAGAACCTCGGCGTCCATCGGCGGTAGAAACGAGGCAATCAGCTGTTGTTTCTTCACACCCTGGCCCTCACGGCGACGCGAAGGAACAAACTGCAGACGACATCAGGGAGGTCTCTCCCGAGCGTGAGGCCCGGGGAAAGAAGTCAGGCACAGAATGCGAGCTGGGGTGGCTTCCGTGGTCCGAAGTTCAAAAATATGCAGAACGAGTCTGTGGTGTGATGGGAAGTCAGGCAGTGGTTAGCTTTGGGGGCGTGGTCACGACTGGAAAGAGGCAGGAGGGAGCCTTCCGGGGTGATGGGATGTTCCACACGGTGGCCTGGGTGGTGTTTACCCAGATGGAAACGTGCTCACAAAATACGTCCAACTGCCCACTGAAGGCCCGAGCACTTTGCTGTACGTCGTTGCCATTCGATTAAAAATAGTTAAAAATAATTGCTGAGCAGGGTGCCGGCTCTGTATGCGGCTCTGCATAAATGGTGGCTCCTGGGGTCAGCATCGTCATTACGGAAGCACCGGGAGGTGGTGACAGTGATGAGGATTTGTAAGGCCTTCAGCCCTGTGCCCTCTGGAGTTCAGACGGCTCATCCGGGCCCTGGGAACCCCCACCCCTGGCAGGGAGCGGACTCTTTCTTTGGCCCTGGGCCAGCACTTGCATTTGGCATTGGTGTGTGTTCTTGGGTCAAGTGCATTTGGCTCTCCTTCCTGGGGGCCCTGAATCATCCTGGACAGCCGTCTTTGCTCGGTGATAACCCCCACATCCGCTGCCCAGACTTCTGGGCTCCGGAGGCCCGCTCTGGGGAGGTGGTGGCAGACCGGGCTGGGGGAGGGTCGGCCAGGCCAATCAACCGGGTTGGGGGTTCGTCCTGGCAGAGGCTCCGATAGGATCGATTCGTCGCCGACCTCCCTGCGTGCTTCTCGGTCGCGAACGAAACGTGCCATCTCAGGATTCCATGATGATGCGAAGTAGGTGTGAGAAGCAGAATGTGTTGCTTTCCTTGGACTCCCCTGGAAGAAGAGAAGGGCGCAGCGTGGCCACAGACGCCCTGCTGGAGGGACTCTAGGGAGTGGTGAGAGATCACAGTTAACCAGAGGGGACAGCTGTCACAGCTCCACACGGGACATGGTCTCAGGGTGGCCCGGTCTTCCCATTTTTCACAAGGAGCTAGAAATCTGGGCTTCTAAGGGAAACCTCCTTGTTTTCAGATCTTGGCATCTCGCTCGGATGGGCTTCGGTTTTTTTAGACATGATGCGGGCTGGCTCGGCAGAACACGTCTGCAGACCTCTGCTATTAGAGGTGACCCCGGACCAACCTGGATGGTAACCTTCCATCTCCCACTTTGTAGCCTTCCGACCTTGGGCTGGCTCATGTCGTTTTTCCGTCTTGTGCAGCATCACCACCCATGAAAGGTTAAAGATAAAATCGTTTCTGATTCACAGGGTCTGTTCTCAGCACCAGGCCAAAGCCTGCAGAGTGCTGGCATCATGCCCCCCCCCACCCTCATTTTCGCCTTACAGTTCCCAGCACGTGGGGGAACCAAGAGGAAGCTTTGGGGGCCTTTTGGACCCCAAGGATTACTCTCTACTTTCCCCCCATGCACGCACAGACCGCCGTGCGGGCAGGGGTAGACAGCCCCCCATTATCCACAGTTTCAGCAAGTGGAGAGGGGACTGCCCAGCCACAGACCCCCTCTTCCTGGGATTCCTTCGAAGCTAGAGGGAGGCAGGGACGCACGTCATCACTCTCCCCTCTGCAGTGTTCCCCTCACCCCCTCAGGGTGGGTCACTGGGACCAGGCCCTCCTGACTGTCCTTGTTCTCACCCGATTCGTTTCTTGAGAAATGAGCAGAAAGAAAAGATCTGCGTTTGATCTACTGTGTTCTGACCTTGCCGGGAGTTATCTGCTCTTTGTTGCATTACTGAATCACAGCACTTTCTCCAGAGTTCAGCCTTGTGGAGGGATGGGTATGTCTCCAGAAGTTTGGCCTTGGGGGAGCCCAAGGGAAGATGTTGAGGGCTTTTTCCTATCAAGGGTAACAAACGCAGGTGCCCGCGGGAGCCAGGCAGGATCTGGACAGGAGTGAAGGGGGCAGGGGCGAGGCATTAGGGAGGGGTGGTGACTGAGGACACCAGAGAGCCCATGCCCCACCTGGAGCGAGCAGCCACGGCTCAGCCCGGCCTTCGGTGCCTGGGGGACGTAGGCCCAGTGTTGCCAAAGCTGCTGACTTTCAAGACGTGTTGTAAATCCCCACTTAATCAGTTGAATATTTTAAAGCTGTATTTATGTATTTTATTTTGGAATAGTTTTAGATTTACAGGAAAAGTGAGAAGATAGTATGGAGAGTGCCCACACGCCCCTCATCCAGTTTCTCCCCCCTGTGCTAACATCCCGTGTCAGCCACAGGACCTTTGTCAAAACTAAGAAACCCGGGGGCGACTGGGTGGCTCAGTCAGTTAGGCGTCCAACTTCGGCTCAGGTCAGGATCTCGTGGTTCCTGTGTTCAAGCCCCGCATCAGGCTCTCTGCTGTCAGCACAGAGGCCGCTTCAGATCCTCCGTCTCCCTCTGTGCCCCTCCCCCACTGGTTCCCCCCCTCCCCACTCAAAAATACATAAACATTAACAAACCAAAAAACAAACAAAAAACCTAAGAAACCAACACAGGCGCATTGCTATTCACTACTCTCCATTGTTTGATTTTGATTTTGCCAGTTTCCCGTTAACGTCCAGGATGAACGCGATCCAGGATCACATGAGATCCCACGTGGCGTTAAGTCGTCATGTCTGCTTAGTCTCCTCCTCTGTGGCAGTTTCGGTCTTTCCTTGCTTTTCACGACATTGGCAGTTTCGAGGAGCCCTGGTCAGGTACTTTGTAGAAGGTCTCTCCATTTGGGTTTGTCCGGTGTTTTTCTTATGGTGAGACGGGGGTTGTGGGTTTCTAGAGAGAATCCACACAGGTGAGGTGCCTTCTCATCACGTCAGGTCTGGGGCATGTGGCACCCACATGCCCTCGCACCCACACGCCTAGCTGATGTTGCCATTTCTGCTTCCCCGTCGTTTGTGGTGTTCATCTTGTGCTTTGGGTTATAGTCCGATATCATATTACGTGTCTTGTTGTCCAGATTGTTCCAGATTTGACCATTCGTCTCTTTCAGGTTGGCTCCTGTGTTCCTTTGACATGCCCCATCCTTTATCTTTTTTTTTTTTAATGTTTACTTTTGAGAGAGAGAGAGAGCAAGCGTGTGGTGGAGTGACAGAGAGAGAGAGGAGGGCGGGGCTCGACCTCGTGAACCGTGAGATCGTGACCTGAGCTGAAGTCGGCCGCTCAACCGACTGAGCCACCCAGGCGCCCCTGTCCTATATCTTCGTAAACACTCCCTTACAGGGGTGCCTGGCTGGCTTGGTCGGAGGAGCACCTAACTCATGATCTTGGGGTCGTGAGTTTGAGCCCCTCATGGGGCATAGAGATTACTTAATAAAAATAAGTTTAAATAAATAAATAAATACTCCCTTACATTCTGGCACTAGAAGATTCTTCAGGCACTGTGTTTTCCCTGCCCCAGCCCTAGAAACAGCCATTTCTCCTAGGAAAGTTGGAAATTAAGTCATATTAAAAAACTTGGGGTGCCTGGGTGGCTCAGTCGGTTAAGCGCCTGGCTTCCGCTCAGGTCACGATCTTGAGGTCCGTGGGTTTGAGCCCCGCGTCGGGCTCTGTGCTGACAGCTCGGAGCCTGGAGCCTGCTTCGGGTTCTGTGTCTCCCTCTCTCTCTGCCCTTCCCCTGCTCACACTCTTTCTCTCAAAAATAAACAAACATTAAAAAACTTAAAAAACAAAAAACAGAACTCACTCTGTGGGCCACATCCAGGCATAGCTGGTGTTGTTTCATCTCCAGAACATTCTTTGAAGGAAAGACCTGTGTGGTACCCATTTTATAGACAGGGAAACCGAGGCACAGGGAGGTCAGGGCAGAGACTAAAGCCACATGCCACCCTCTCGGGGCCCCTGTGTGCCCTCGTGGGGCCAGGGCATGTGGGGCAGGAGGATACCCAGGACAGTGGGCTTGGAGCCAGGCACCCAAGCAGCACGGCGGCAGCGCTGTGACCAGAGGAGGAGAAGCAGGAGGGGACAGCTTGGTCTGGGACGTTCGGGGAACGGGGTAGCATCTGAGACCTGGGGCAGGGAGGGTGGTGTTCTGGGAGGACCACAGGCAGGTCTCGTGTATTCGGGTAGAAAGGCGGACAGATGCGGTTTTCAGGTCATGTTTAACATGAAACTTTGTGCTGAGCTGTCTCCCTGCGTCAGTTGTCTGTTGCTGCTGAACCCGGGTCCCCAGACATGGTGACGTGAAACGACGGCCTTCCCCACCTGGCAGCACTTGTGGGTCGGGAGTGTGTGCGGCCCCGCCAGGTGGCTCTGGTGGCCCTTGCTGCACAGGCTGCCCACGGGGAGTCGGCTGGGGCCGCTCTTGTCTCGAGGTTCAGCCGGGGCAGGACCGCATCCGGCCCAGTCGGCGGGGGTGCGCCTCGGTTCCCCACTGGCAGGTGCCGGAGGCTGCCCTCCGTCCCCAGCCGCGTGGGCCTTTCTGTCGCCTCAGTTTACTGGTGGCTGAGAAGGCAGGTCGAGGAAGGTGGGGGGGAGAGGGAGCGTGCATGAGTGAGCCAATGAGAGAGAGAGAGAGAGAACAAACTGGAATGACAGTCCTCTGTGTGACCCTGTCCCCAGAGTGCCATCTCTCCTTTTGGCCGAGTCCCTTTCGTTAGAAGCGAATCGCCAGGGCCAGTTCACGGTCCCGGGGGGTGGGGGGTGCTGTGCAGGAGGCAGCGGCTGTGCAGGAGGCAGCGGTCACTGGGGAGCATGTCAGGAGCCGCCTGTACGAACCCTGCCAAACACCCTGCCGGACGGTCTGTCCTCACCGCCTGCCAAGGAAGCCGGAGCCATTGTCACTGCTTTGCCGTCCAGATAAGCAAAGGAGGGCTCAGAGAGGTGCAGCGACTCGCCCGAGGTCACACAGCTCAGACTCCAGCCTGAGTCCAGCCTCGACTGCCCTCACACTCCAGCTCCAGCCTGGCCTCGGAGCTTAGCTGAAGATGCAGATTCCCGGCTGACCCCAGGCAGACTAAACCAGACATGGAGGGGCCTGGGAATCAGCATTGGACAGGTTGCCGTGGGGGATCCCGATGCTCCCTGGAGTCTGAGAGCAGCGTTTGCTCCCTCATCCTAAGGACATGATAACACGGAGATGACGTGTCTCTCTCTCACACAGTGACGGGTTAGGCGTGGTCTTTGGCTCCTGAGGACAAAAACAGAGGCAGAGGTGTCCGATTTCAGGGATCACGGGAGAGGTGTGGCTTCATTAAAGGTCATAGCCACGTTGGGAGCCCTTCCAGGCAGAAGAAATTGAAAATTAGGGGCGCCTGGGTGGCGCAGTCGGTTAAGCGTCTGACTTCGGCCAGGTCACGATCTCGCGGTCCATGAGTTCGAGCCCCGCGTCGGGCTCTGGGCTGATGGCTCAGAGCCTGGAGCCTGTTTCCGATGCTGTGTCTCCCTCTCTCTCTGCCCCTCTCCCGTTCATGCTCTGTCTCTCTCTGTCCCAAAAATTAAAAAAAATAAAAAAAAAAAACGTTGAAAAAAAATTAAATGAGATGGTGTGCGGGAAATGCTTAGCGCGGTGTCTGCATATGGGAAGCACTTTGATACTTGGGAGCTGTGGTTTTCATTCACGTTATTAATGAATGTTAATGATCATTAACTTGTTGGTATTATTAATTTCAGGGCAGTGAAAATGTGACTTACCCCGACTTGGGTTTGCAGAAGAGATTTTGGGTCTTTCCCTTTGCTCCAGTTGAGTGGTTTAGAAAACAGATCTTATTTTGGGACTGGTGTTGGCAGGTGTTCGTGGGGGAAACGGCAGTAGACGATACGTGGGTCGGTCTGGGTCCCCACTCAGGACTCTGGGTTCTGGGTTGTCCCCGGGTCTGTCCTTGTGCAGGACGCCGCTCGACATCGTGGCCATCTGCGAGGTCCCTGCAGACCCTGGGCGACCCCAGAGGCAGGCCGGAGGCCGGGGTAACAGGGCCGAGGGCCTGACGAGCTGTTCTGTTTCTTGCAGATCAGGAGCGACACTTCACAGATCTTGGAGGAAAACATCCCACTCCTTAAGGCCAAAGTGACAGAAATGCGTGGCATCTATGCCAAAGTGGACCAGCTAGAGGTGTGTCTGAGGTGATGGGCTTTCTTTGTGAGACCTGTGGGCCTGTTCTGGTTCTTTCCTCCTCTCTTCCAAAATGCTGATTGGGCCTCCAGAGCGTCAGGCGTTAGACCCAGTACAGGGGGTTGGTGGCGAAAGAGGGCGTACTTACACGGTATTGTAAAAGCTGTGACAAATATGAATTCATAGAAAGTACCCCACGTAAAAGTCCAGGTATGGGGCGCCTGGGTGGCTCAGTTGGTTAAGTGTCCGACTTCAGCTCAGGTCATGATCTCACGGTTTGTGGGTTCAAGCCCTGCGTTGGGCTTTCGCTGCCCCTCCCCCACTGATTCTCTCTCTCTCTCTCTCTCTCTCTCTCTCTCAATAAATGAATAAACATTAAACAAATTTAAAAATCAGACTTTTTAAAAAAGGTTTTTTTATTTATTTTGAGAGAGAGAGTGGGGGGGAGGGGTAGAGAAAGAGGGAGGGAGAGAGGATCCCAAGCACTGGCTCGAACATACGAACCGTGAGATCATGACCTGAGCCGCAGTTGCATGCTTAACGACGGCGCCACCCAGGCGCCCCTAAAAATCTGGCTTTTAAGCTGCTTTTGGAAATTCAGAAGCTTTGATAGCACTTAGCTCACATTTCTTTAAATACTTTAATCTCCAGGTTGTATTTCTCAAGGTATAAATACATGAAGTACACACATCTTTTTTTTTTTATATTTTTGAGAGAGAGAGAAAGAGAGAGACAGAGTGCAAGTGGGGGAGGGGCAGAGAGAGGGGGAGACACAGAATCGGAAGCAGGCTCCAGGCTCCGAGCCGTCAGCACAGAGCCCGACGCGGGGCTCGAACTCACCAGCTGTGAGATCACGACCTGAACCAAAGCCAGATGCTTAACAAACTGAGCCACCCAGGCGCCCCTGAAGTACACCCATCTTCCGTGTATAGTTCAGTGAATTTTTACACACATAAACTCCCATGTGAAGACGACCCGAATTGAGAAGGAGAACATTTCTCAGCCCCGGGCTGTAATTTTGTAGAGCCGGGTGGCAGCTGCCCCTCAGACAAGGCCCGTGTTCTCCAGCATACCGCAATCCCCACCACGCCCTACTGCCTCACTGCTGACTTCCCTCACCTGCCTTGTTCCTGTGTGAGCAGCAGGCTAAGCGCGTGGTAGGTCATTTTTCTCCTTGCTGCACCGTACCCTCACTGTCCCATTTCCCAGAGGAAGAGCATAAACTCCAAGAGGTAAGCAGCGTTCCCAGGGTCACACATCTCATTCCTTGAAGCTGGGACCTCAGGCTGCGTCCCCTGGAGCCCAAGCTCTTACCCGTACTGGGGCCCTCAGCTTGGGATCCTGGCTCCTTACACAGCGAAAGCCCAGGAGGCTTGAGGGAGCTTGCAATTAAATAGCGGTCACCTGGACGGACGGGACGTGAGCCGCTCCGAGCCACGGAGGAAGGGAGCACGGCAGTCACCACTAGAGCTGGCAGAGTTAACATTCTTGTCAGCAGAGAATGAGGCAGGAATATAATTAAAACTTTGCCCTTGGAATCGCTGATTCATTTGAATTTTATTCCACACGTTTGACCGAGGAAAGAGAGAAAATGCGAAGGTTTGGAGCCCTGGCCCGGCTCTCAAGCCCAGCGCTTCCCTTAGCAGTCAGCCCACTGAGACTTACTGAGGGCCTACTGTGTGCGCTATGGGACTCTCACGGGGAGAAAGGCAGGTGCAGCCCGCGGCCGTGTTCCAGCAGGAGGGGCCCGGCCGCAAAGCGCTCCCACAGTGGTTCCCGGTGGCCACCATAACTCATGCCCACAAACTTAGGGGTGTCAAACGACATGGGTTTATATCTCACAGCTCCTGACGTTGCAAGTCCCAATGTGTCTTATAGGCTAAAAATTGAGGTGTTAGCGGGGCTCGTTCCTTCTGGAGGCTCTGGGGGGGGCCTTTTCCACCTCCCAGAAGCTGCCTGTGTTCCTTGGCCTCTACCTCCCCGTCCGCCCCACCTGTAGCGCCTTCCAGTCTCTCTTACGCTCTGACCCTCCTGCTCCCCTCTGACAGGGACCCTGTAGTCCCCCGGGTCACCCAGCATCATCTCCCCGTCCTCAGTCCCATCTGCAGAGTCCTTCTTTCCCTATAATGTCTTCGCAGGTTCTGGGAATGAGGATGTGCCCTCTCTGGGGGCCGTTTTCCTGCTGACCACAGTGGCCGAGGGAAGGAGGCAGGTGCTCTGGAGGAAGGTGCTGCCCGAGGAGTGGAAAGAGCCCCTGGAGGAAGAATGGAAGGGGTGATGTTAGGTGGAGGGGGGGACGGGCAGGGGGGACAGCTCGGGCAGAGGCTCAGAGGCAGGATGGTGTTGAGCTCGGGGGCAGGAGGGAGATGGGAACGCTGGAAGGATCCCGGGATGTCCTGATGATGGGAACGTGACCGGAGTGGGGCTGGAGAAATCGGGCAGCAGGAGCCCTGTTGTCAGGATTTTGGCCTCTTCATCCCAAGCGATGGGGAGCCACCGATGAGACAGGATAGTCCCCACGGCAGGGTGTTGGTGCTGTTGACGCTTCGGGCCTGACATTCTCTGTTGTGGGGCATCCTGTGACGTAGCAGCGTCCGGGTCTCTACCCACGAGATAGAGTTCCCCCTCACCCCTGGCTCTAGAGTCCTACTGCCTGGGTTCGGATCCTGATGCTGTCTCTTTCCTCGTGTGACCCCCTGGCAAATTCCAAGTCTCTGCTCCCCTGTAAAATGGAGTGACAGTAGTGAGGTTCCTGAACCCAAATCTGTTTTTCTTTTCTTTTCTTTTCTTTCTTTCTTTCTTTCTTTCTTTCTTTCTTTCTTTCTTTCTTTCTTTCTTTCTTTTTTTAGCATTTTTAATTTCTTTTTGGGAGGCAGAGAGACAGAGAGAGACAGAGCATGAGCGGGACAGGAGCAGACAGAGAGGGAGACACAGAAGCCAAAGCAGGCTCCAAGCTCTGAGCTGTCAGTACAGAGCCCGACGTGGGCTCGAACTCACAAGCAGTGAGATCATGACATGAGCTGAAGTCTGCCGCTTAACCGACTGAGCCACCCAGCTGCCCCCTTGAACCCAAATCTTACCGGTATTTACTTGGCTAACATTACTTGAACGCTCATTATGAGCTACCCTGAGATCTGGGTATGAGCGTCCTGGTCCCTTGCTAGTGGCCTGTGGGGGTGCTGGGTGAGGACCTGGGCTGGATGAGATAGGTTGGCTGTGTCAGCACCTGCAAAGCAGGGGCCTGGTCAGACCTGTAAGAGAGACCCGCTTCCTGGGGGTCTCTTCACACGAAGGACTGAGAAATGGAGGAGTGAGCCTCGGTGGGGGGGGGGGGGGGGGGGACAGCTTGTGCAGATGTCCCAAGGCTGCAAAGACCAAGGCCTTTCAGGCAGTTGTGGGTGGTGTAGATAGAGCTCAAGGTTAGGGGTGGGCACAGACTGACCGTGTTGGGCCAAGTCGTGGAGTTTGGACCCCTTGGTGAGAACGACAAGACCCTTCAAAAGTGATTGCGAATAATATACTATTATTCCCTCCCCAACCCCGAGAAAATCCAAAAAGATTGTTTTGAAGCGTTCCACTCACAACCCATGGAACACCGAACACGTGCTAAGAACTGAGTGTATTTACATGGTTGTGCAATCATCACCAAGTTTTCATCGTCCCCCGAAGAAACTCTGTAAACCACCAGCAGCCACTCCCCAGCCCCAGCCCCTGGGGGCCACACATCCACTTTCTGGCTCTATGGATCTGCCTCTTCTGGATGCTTCATACTAACGGTATTATACAGCCTGTGGCTACAACGCCTGGCTTATTTCACTCAGGATGATGTTTCGGGGGTTCATCCAGGCCGTAATATGTGTCTGATCTTCATTCCTTTTTTTGGCTGAATAATATTCTAGTGCACGGATGGACACGCCACATTTCATCTGTCCTTTTGGGTCATTTCCCCTTTTTGGCTCTCATGAATAATGCTACTGTGAACACGCACGTCTGCGTTTTTGTGTGAATCTGTATTTTCATTCCTCTCGGGTGGAAACCTAGGAGTGGAAATGCTAGGTCATACCAGAACTCTTTTGGGGCACTGCCAGGTGTGTTCCAAAGTGACGAGACTACGGCATTTTCCACTCGCACCAGCGATTGCTACGAGTTTTAGATGGAAATGGCGCACTCAGGTGCCGGCAGGATCCGGGGCTGTACTGAGTGACCAGGTGCTACACGACCAACCCCAAGGCCCCCTCCCCCATTACTTCCAACAGCTGCAGCTGAGAAGCACCCGTCCCCTTCAGTGGGCTAGGATCACCAGGCCGCCACAATCCCCACTCTGCCCTAGAGTCTCCCCAGTGTTGAGGCTGAGTGGCATTTGCCTTGTATCAGCCTCCCCTGGGCTGTTGCTTTCCTTAGAGTAGAGGTATTTCTCTGTAACCGGGTCTCTGTTAAAAGGAGGAAACACTGAGCTAGTCCAGGGGGGTCTTGGACGAGAAGCCGGTGCGAAAATACCTATTTCCCACTATGAAGTGTGTGCTTTAGCAGCTTATGAGAACCTGAGGTGCATTGGACCGGGACAGGTAGATTCCAGAGCCATGTGGCCCCGGCCCCAGAACTGCCCCTTGGGTAGCTCTGTCACCCTCCAGAATCTGCTTCTTCCTCGGTAAGTTGGGAATATGCCTTCCCTCCTGGCAGTCACCGTGGGGCATTAGGCCAGCAGCTGGCACTAGGTCCCTGAGGTGCTCGGTGAAGCCCAGCACTGTTCTCTGGCTGTTGCCTGTGTCTCCCTCCCTCTTTGCCCCTCCCCCACTCGTCCTCTGTCTCTCTCTCTCTCTCTCTCTCTCAAAAATAAATAGACCTAAAAAAATTTTTTTAATAAATAAAAAAAAAAGACTATGTACGAGTCCCCCCTATTCCCGAGACGCAGCCACCAGAGTGGTCGCCGTCCTGTCCCCCAGCCCCATCCGCTCTGGTGGCTGCGTCTCTCCTGGTCTCCCCGAACCGGGTCTCTCCCGGGCTGCCCTTGGCTGGCATTTCCGACCTGCGAGCGTGCATTCCTCAACTCCCCCCCAGACTGGCGGCAACAGGGGGCGCATACAGTTGGAATCGGCTGGCGGACGGGGACTGCGGGGCCGTCTTCCGTGTTTTACAAGTAGCTGTGCCGCCCAGGGAGGCCTCGGAGCCCAAGGGCCGGAGCCCTGGTCAGGGGAAGCTTCCTGGCCCCGTGGCCCCTTGTCTTCCATTTCCTCCCCCCCCCCCATCTGATGTGGCTTATTCGGCCTTTCAGCTGCCAGGTGTCTTTTTGCTACGGATGCGCCCATTCGTGCGTGGATTCTCAGGCACCCGCCGTCCGGGGGAACCCTGTGCAGCCCACCAGGTTCCGGTCTTGGCCTTGTGAACAACACTGACTCAGCACCTTTTCCTTCGGAACCTACGTTCTGGAGGCAGTGGACGAGAAGTTCGGAGGGCGAGGAGGGCTAAGGAGACAGGGAAAGCGGGAGTCTCCACAGTGATGGGGGCTGCGTTAGATTAGGCGGCCGGGGAAGGCCTCTCTCTGGAGGGGACTGTCAGTCCAGGCCCTGAAAGCTGGGCAACGTTCACCCCATCAAGAACAGAGAGCAGGGCCTGGCCTGGAGACAGCCGGTGGAAGGGTCCTGTGGTGAGTGGGGCCTGGCATTTCCAGGGAACCCGAAGGAGGGGAGGCCGGTGTGAGGAGGAGAGGGCAGGGCCGGATGGTGGGCACCCTGTAGGCAGTGGGGGGCCATGAACTTCGTTCCAGTGAAGGGAGGCTCCCTCCTAGTCTCCTTCCTCTTCCTGGTGACAGAAGGTCTCTGCTAGCCTACTGCGGGAGCGAGGGAGGCCCACAGAGGTGTGGCTCGTCTGATGTGGCTCTGGAGTCGCTTCCTCTGGTGGCCTTCGCCTTCTGTGCTCGCGACACGCAAACGTGCCCGCGCACTCGAACACACGTGCGTATAAACACACAAGCTCACATGAGCACAGGCACACGAACACGCTTAAATACACGCACGCGTGAACATGCACACACGTGAGTGCGGGAACACCCGTGTGCTGGGTGAAGGGAAAGGTGAAGATACACCACAGGCTGCAGATGAGCCGGTTCGACGTGTCTGCGCCTGCGCGGAATTTTTTTTTTTTTTAATTGGGAATTATTGCTAACATGGGTAAAAACTCAAGGCTTTTCATAAAATCTGCAGTTTTTTTTTTTCTTTTCAAAATGATACCTGATGTTTATTGAGCTCAGTATGTGCTAAGTAAGCACTCACCTGCTTAGCAAGGTTGGTATTATTCGTATTCCATATAGTAATATCATCATTATTATCATTTACTAGATAAGGAAACTGAGGCTTGTAGAAAGTTGCATACAGCTTGTAAGGGGCAGAACTGGATTCTAATCCAGAGAGTCTGACCCAGGTTCTCTCTCTCTCTCTCTTTTTTTTTTTTTTTTTTTTTTTTTTTT